AGGGGCCAGGATGCCAGTGGGTGCTGGGGCAGGGTACTTGTTGGGGGTTGGGGGGGAGGGGGACAGGCACTGGTACCTGGGGATCCTGTAGCTGCGCACCAAGGCACAGGAAGTGCGCAGGCTGCTCCCCCGTCCCCCAAACAGCAGCGCGGTACCTGAAATGCTGGTCTGTCGTGTGCCCGATGCCTTCCTGCATGGGGGGAGAGAGGGGCCCGGACCATTCCAGCAACAAGTGCTCAGGCATCATGCGGGGGGGAGGGGGACAGGCACTGGTACCTGGGGATCCTGTAGCTGCGCACCAAGGCACAGGAAGTGCGCAGGCTGCTCCCCCGTCCCCCAAACAGCAGCGCGGTACCTGAAATGCTGGTCTGTCGTGTGCCCGATGCCTTCCTGCATGGGGGGAGAGAGGGGCCCGGACCATTCCAGCAACAAGTGCTCAGGCATCATGCGTCTTGCCCCTCCACTCCCCACAACAGTGTGTGCTGCTGGAGTTGGTGCGGTCCTGGATCCCCACCCTCTCCCCTGTGTGCAAGAAAGCAGCAGAGGAACAAAGTCCGCAGTGTGTGATGGACTGGCATTTTAGGTACTGCGCCAGCCATTGGGTGGGGGAGAGCAGCCCATGTACTTCTGGGACCTGGTGCACAGCTGCACAACTCTCCCTACCCCATAGGAAGCCTGCGCTACCTTTGTGGTCCCTGGAGGTAGCATCAGCGCACCATTCATCTTGGGGGTGGGGAGCAGCACAGGGGAGCTGGGGGCTGTTGGGGAGGGCAGGGGTGGCTTCGTGAGTCGCACTTTTGAGGGAGGAAGAGCCACATGCAGCTTGAGCTGCGAGCTGGCCACCCTTGCACTAAGCTGTTTCCTACAATGTATCAACATCTAACTACAGGCTACTTTGTTGGACCACAGAAACTGTTAGGAAAGCAAAACTCTACATGCAAATAAGTTGGCATTAACATTGTTAAAACTACATTTAGCAGTAGGGGCTCATCCAACTGTTACATAAATCTATAGATGCAGCACATGTGCGTATGCGCGAAACGTCACATCCCTGGTGAGGGGAAGCAGCAAGGAGTAAGAGCTAAAGCCACTGTGTGGCCAGCTCTGGGGGACAAGGAGAGGAGGAGGAGGAAGTAGCTCTGCTTGCTGCTGTCTTTTCCCCCCTCTCCCCAGGCCAGGGAGGTTAGGGCAGAGGCCTGCGGCATTTTCTCTCTGCTGTCCCCAGTGGCTGGGAATCGCAGCCGGGGTGGGGAGGAGGCAGTGCCTGCAAGAACAGAGCTGCACAGAGCCATGTGTTCCCTCCCCAAGAGCTGTGCCAAGTAAATGCACCAATCCCCTCCTCTCCCTCACAATGAACCCCTCATTCTTGGCCCTATCCCAAGGCTTGGGGGCTCCCACAATTTATTAGCCCTGGGTTAATCCAGACCTGCGGGTGGGGGAGCCCTGAACTTCAGCAACCCACCCCCTTGTGGGGCTGGAGTGCAAGAGGAACCTGATGCCCTGAGTAGTGTGAGTGAAGTGAGGGGTTTTCTGCTTCGGAGGTGGGGGGTCACATCAGCGAGGGGTTTTTGGTTTGCTTCTTACTTGATCCCAAACATTTTGGTGGGCCACTGACTCAAAAAAGGTTCCTCACCCCTGGGTTGGACAAATTTTTCTCCTTCCATAGTCGTCTTATGATCTGTAACTTTCTACAGACAACTCAGATGACTGCAGGCGTGGGTGTCAGTTACCCACTTCACCTTGAAACAAGATTAGTTAACTTCTATTTAAAGAACACATTTACACATGACAGTTTTGATTCAATATTTTTCAAAATGAAACTCCTTTCTTGCATGGATTTGAATGAATAAAAATCGGTTACCTTTGGCATGTACTTGCCCTAGAAAGCTCTCTAGTGTCCAGAACTGGTCTCCAACCAGTTCTGAAACAGTAGCCAACTAGCCACATTCAACCTGCCAAATAGCCACATGTGGCTAGTGCATTGGACATCACAGGTCTAGAATGAATGCAAAAAATAACAAGCCAGAAACTCCTTCACATTGGTGCTGACAATGACTACACCTTTGGTCCTGATCTACTCACTTTAGCTTTCTATGTCAATTTCCCCCATCAAAGTAGTTCATAATTATATACATCATGCAGAAGCTGGGAGGTTTAGTTAATTTTACAGAGTGTTTTTGGTGGCCAGCTTTGTTTTCTTCATTTCTCTCAATAGACAAGGAAGTCTGTCTTGTTCCTAGTCTGTTTCTCTTGGTTTTCATGGCTGGTATCTCAGGTACAAGTTGCAGCACTGCAATTCATGATTTACACTTGCCAAAAGAAAGTTAAATTAAAAATCCTTTTGAAACAAACTTCTGTGAGGCTAGTGGGTCAAATAATTATCTGAATTCCCGATGCGTAGCAAGAGAGGCAAACATGGTAGGAGACCGGACTGGCTTACAGGGGAAATCCTTGGTGAACTTAAGCACAAAAAGGAAGCTTACAAAGAGTGGAAACTTGGACAAATGACCAGGGAGGAGTTTAAAGGTATAGCTCAAGAATGCCGGGGGGTTATCAGGAAGGCGAAAGCGCAAATGGAATTGCGACTGGCTAAGGATGTGAAGGATAACAAGAAAGGTTTCTACAGGATGTTAACAAGAAGGTGATCAGAGAGGGTGTGCGGTCCCTACTGGATGAAGTAGGTAACCTAGTGACAGATGATGTGGGGAAAGCTGAAGTACTCAATGCTTTCTTTGCCTCTGTATTCACGGACAAGGTCGGCTCCTGGACTTCTGCGCTAAGTGACGCAAGATGGGATGAAGATGGACAGCCCGCGGTGGGTAAAGAACAGGTTAGGAACTATTTAGAAAAGCTAAACATACACAAATCCATGGGTCCGGACTTAGTGCATCCGAGGATACTGAGGGAGCTGGCAAATGTCATTGTGGAGCCGTTGGCTATTATCTTTGAAAAGTCGTGGAGATCAGGAGAAATCCCGGATGACTGGAAAAAGGCAAATGTAGTGCCCATCTTCAAAAAAGGGAAGAAGGATGATCCAGGGAACTATAGGCTGGTCAGTCTTACCTTGGTTCCTGGAAAAATCATGGAAGGGATCCTTAAGGAATCCATATTGAGGCACTTGGAGTAGAGGAAAGTGATTAGGAATAGTCAGCATGGATTCACAAAGAGCAAGT